AAATATACTATTTAATCTTCAACTAGCATTTAGGTCATAAAAATATAGTTTCAAGTGCTTTAATTTTGAAGTTCTTCATCAATGCTCAAAAATAAAGAAATAGAACCGAATTTATCTATAAACTGATGAATTAAAAGGCAAAGGTTATACCAATAAAATGTTAGCATGAATTCACAAATTTTTTTTCATGAAATTTTTTTTTGCTATAAAATATGCCTTGATAATTTGGAAGGCACTGCTAAATTCTATTTTTTACTATGTGTCAACAACAATAACAACCTGAGAAATATACAAGTTACAAATAGTCACTTTCTAATCCCTTTAAATGTTTATATTAGAATATTTGTTTATGGGAGCTGATTGTTTCCAATGTGGGTCCAAGCAAAATAATTAATTTTCGTCAATGAAATCTGAATTTTATCTAATAATAAAAAAATGTCTTGTGAAAGATAAAAGCCTATACCATTCCTGCCCATCACAGATCTCTAGGGTATCTCGATTGCCTATTCTGCGCTTCAAGCCCATGTTGGTGGAGAACAGGGATGAGAGGAAACATAGGGTAACCTGAATTTTATCACTACCACCCATCCAAACAACTGTTTACCCCTTGACTCTTAGCAATAATGGTTAAAGACAAATAGACAAAATTATTTATAAAAAAATATCAATTTCATTTAAAAGTGTACCAAAACATAACTTAAAAAAAAGTTCTTTTTGCTTTTACTGCAGTTGGTTTTATAAATTTGATAATTCTAAAAGTATAGTTTTCTCAATCCATAAAAAAGTGGGCACGAAGATAAAAATTTTAACTTCCTTAAATATGTTTGAAATTTTGAATATTAATAGCAAAAGTATATACACTTTTTTCTATTTTATTAAAAAAGAATGAAAATTTCTGTTATTAACTTGCTTATTTTAATTTATAAAGTGACACAATGTCTGCATGGAAAGACTATACCAAAAAATCTTTGTGTTTCATGGTCTCGCATAGCTGAACAAGTAATTCTGAAAAGACTCTTAACTTATAAATGCATAAATCTGACAGCTATTATTGAAAGTTTTTGCCCACAGAAAAGTTTTCACTAATCTTCATTACAAAAGGTAAGTACATTTAATTTTACTCTTAGTTATTGCTATATCCACAACATAAAGTTACATCATCCACTGAAAAATTTCTTTGAGTGTAAGTTTTGATACCTTGAATTGAAAAATGTCTTTCAAATGGTGTTCAAAATTTATGGATCAAAGAGCCAAAACTATGTAAGTTCGTCCAAGAGTCAGTAAACAAATAGTAACATCAACATGTGGCTTTGAAATGCTACTGGAATATGTCATTCTGTATCACTACTATGCTTGTTTTTTCAATTCTCTTTTTTTAGCTTTATTAAATTCTCGTTCTTCTTCGGTAACATAAGGATAGCATTTCATGTGGAAAATAGGACAGTTCACTTTAAACCTTTCATCTAAAATTAATATACAGATTCAATCATAAACAGAATTTACACAAGAAAAATAAATACAATATATTCAGAAGTGGCGTAGCTAAAGGATATCAAAAATTTATTCATAAGAAATCGATAAAGATACAAGAAAAAAACACAAAATTGGTTCAGTATCTTTTCCTTTCCCATGAAAATAATTTTTAATGAGCCCTGGAGGACTCAATGTAATCATATATCATATTTTTGTGGCTTAATACAAAAAAAAGTCTACATTTTTAAATTGTGGTGACCTAATTTTAATTATCTTGAAAAAATAACGTAGTGAGTACATTCATATTCATATGATTTCATTTTGATTAAAGTGATTGATATTTGTGGTTCTTGCCATTTATATTTAAAATGCTTTAATTAATCATGCATGAAAATTTAAAAACCATAAAACTATATATATATATATATATATTTGAAAGGAATGAAGTTTTTAGTCGAGGTATATTTTACCGCCTCAGTTTCTTGGGATTATTGATTTTATATTTATTTAATATGTATGTTAGTGCAAGTCCCATTAAAAGTTATATCGATTTGATATTCGAAGCCAAAAAACCCTACAAAGTGTCTTGAACCTTCAAAAGTTACAAAAATGAAACTAGATTATGCTCTTTTATTTACCTCAACTGCATCGTTATTTCTATTCCAACTAGTGATCTGATCTATAACCAAAATAATAAATAAAGAAAGAAAGAAAAACGGAAGGATTTGAAAGAATACCAAGATATAACCAAACCAGCTATTGGCGTTAATTTTTTTAAATTCTCATTGAAATTTAATTTTGATTTGTAAACTTAGTTTATCAGAATGTTAAAAAAACAACAACAACAAAAGAAAAAAACAGTATGCATCTCTTTTAACTTAAACTCAAAGTATGCTCACTTCATTCGTCTCGTTCCCGTTAAAATTACGGGGTGAACATTCGTTCTCTATCTCTCGTACCCTTGACAATTCCATATTGTACATACACTTAGATTCATATAATTTTCGTGAATAAAAATAAAGACACTCTTACGACCGTTTTCTTCAAAATTATGTGACCATTAGGGGTTGAAAAATTATTTTCCTTTAAAACTTAGTTTTCATGCTTATATTTATCTTGAATACACCACTTAAGGTGGGAACATAATAATTAGATATGAAACATCAATAAAAATATACACCAAAATTTTGAATCCCAATTTCTCTACTTATTGGTGTGGCGTTGAGAAAATTGATATCGAATTTGGAACGTTAGAAATCTAATTCTTAATTAGAGGAAGGGATTTAATGATTTTATAGTTATTTTTCTTATAGTTATCTTTTTGCAGTTAATCCATATTTAACAACAAACTCTTTTATAATAAAGAAACAATATTTTTTCTTTACCTCGTTTTGTGAGAATAATAAATTTGTTTCTTTTCAGGAAACTAATGTGTTGGGATTCAAGGGTCCAAGAAAAATGTCTGTCATACTCCCAGCATTGAACAATGAAAATAAAAGAATTGAAATGAAATCAAGTGTGGTATGAATCAGATAAACTCTTTCTTTTTCTTTTTTTTGTAAAGAATACAAAGTGTATTTTTAAAGACATGATTCCATTCAAAAAGTTCGCTTCAATATGAACTAAATTTTTTTCTGATTAAATGTTCTATCATTATTTTTAAATAGTTTTAATTGATTTAAGATAGTTTCCAAGTACAAAATAAAATCTTTACTCTTTGAATAACATTAAGTTTAATGATCGGTCGTTTAGGTACTATAATTTTAGGTACTACAAGTACTATAATTATATAATTAAGGTACTATACTATAATTATATATTTAAGGTACTATACTATAATTATATAATTAGGTACTATAATTATATAATTAAGTACTTTAGGTACTATAATTATATAAGGTTTAAAGGTACTATTTCAAACAATTTGCGTTTTGTTCTATTTTGTATCGTAAATTACTGTCCGGTCTAGACTGATTAAGTGAAGTTTGAAAGTTAAAAGTCGTCTACATGCGGAAACAGGAATTATGCGCAAAAGAAAAATAAAATTTGGTATATGAAAAGTATCGTTTGCTTGAAAAAATAATATTTTAACATTATTCAAATAGTTTTACAAAGTATTCCAAAAATTATGAATTTTTCCGGTTGAAATAAAAGTTAATAGATTTAGATAGACCAAGCATGCTTGAGAACTAACACTGGGGGTTCGGCGTTCGGCTGACCACCTGACCGGAACATATGCTCTTGCACCCCAGAGCCCAAGGTCAAGAAAACTGAGATGGGCACAGTCGGCCTTGGCCCTCTTAATGGGCTGTCGCGCCACTGAGTTAGTTTAGTTAGTTAGATTTAGATAGACCACAGATTTAGAATAACACTTTGAAGTGATGCAAAATAACGTAAATATATATTTTTTCTGATTTTTTTAAAATTTTTTAAAACTAAGATATTTTAATTTTATTTTTTAAGAAAAAAAGCTATCACTTTACAAAATATTTTATATTTTAAATATTTTAAACCCTAAAGTAGGATAAATTTGCAAAACATGAAATTTTCAATCAAAAGTAACCGTCTTCGAGTGTTAAATAGTTTAATTCTTTTCAAGTGCAGAATGATATTCCTCCCAAAGATACTTTTGTTCTACTTAATATCAAGATACAAAATCCAATTCATTAGATCAATAAGTAGCTATAGTGTAAAATAGGTTTGCGCTTTTAAAATGTACAATTAATATAATTTTATTCAAAATTTTGTATTCACATTTAGGAGGGAGAAGGCATATTAGAAAAATGGAAAGCTAAAAATATGGAAAATTTGTTGGAATTGCACAATAAAACACCAGTTTGGAATGATGGTAAGTTGATTTGTCATAACTTGTAGTCTGAAATAATGGTATAATAAATAGCAAATAAGTTGTAAATTAATTATTGTTAAATTTAAGCATTTGACTACTGTCTAATGTTTATGTAGTATAGAGTTAGTATTAAAAATGTTATTTTGAAATATCATAGGAATGCACACCACCAAGTAGCAAAAACGCTCAGCTACGGCAGCGTGCTCTGCAGGTTAATTTTAGCCTTTGAAATAGCAGATTATTTCAACATCATAAATTGAGGCTTTATCCTTTTAATAATTTTGTTTTCTTCTGATTTCTTTAGTGAATTTATTTGTAAAGCCTTGCTTTCTCCTTTTGATCAGAGTTGTTCATTTTTAAACATTACCACTACTTCTATTATGTTTCTTATTAAAATTATTTCGCTGAACTGATAGAACACTGCATAGTACAAGTAATAAATGCTACTTAATTACTGACTCTTACAATATAAATATTTATTCAATCAATGACTGAAATTCTAAAATTTCTCTGTAAGCTTCACTGGTGTTCAGAATTTTCTACTGAGCCACTAGACATACGAGTAGGCTAATTACAAGAGAATCTTCTAAAGTGTTCCGAACACCGGTTTAGCTTACAGACTAAGGTGGACTAAGCCCCGGTGTAGACTAAGACTAAGCCCCGGTGTAGCCGGGTTAGCTTACAGACTAAAGTTCCGTACTCATAGGTCGCTAACCCATTCGTTTTGCCCCAGATACAAATTAATTAAAATTGCTTAATAAAAGTTGAACTGTAACAGAAAAGTTCATTATTTCGCGTCCCTAAGTCAATGAAGTTAGGTAGGTATTTTATTTACGTTGTACTAGAGCTGCACAATTGGCTATTGGTGACGGTCTGCAAAACATTCGTGGCAATTATCCGAAGACCTAAGTTAATTGAAGAAACGTACAATTTACAAGGCAAACTCTTTACCAATTAATACGCACAATCCGCCTTTATAGAAATGCAAAGAAAATCACCTGACATTTTTTAATAAAAATTATGTTTAACTATTCTTTTATATTAAATTTTAGCAGTGGTAGCAAATATCAATCGATCCTCGACTCCGTAAAGAACCATCTAGTGCATGTGACATACAGGTTTATAAAATACGTGGAATGAAAAGCTTCGAACGTGACAAATTAATATTTTTAGAACAATGCAAATTAATATTTTCAGTTCGAAAAACATATTTTTAAAATTATTTTGATTGTTTTGAAAGTGAACCATTGCTTACAAAAACAAAATTATTTTCCAGAAACGCAATCTTATGTTTTGAACTTTCACGGAAGGGTAACTCAAGCTTCAGTCAAGAACTTTCAAATAGTTCACATTAATGATCGTAAGTATGACTCTCGTTTTGTTCTTCCCTATATTAATATATGTGGTTACAGTGCTTTTAAATTTAAAATTTTTATTTTCGATTTCATAAGAACTGGTGGAAGTGTTAAAATTCAACTGCTATCTGTACGTTTAGACACAAAAGAAAATATGATTGCACAAACATTTTATAATCAGTATTTCGTCGGTGAGCTTTTTATTCTGGACATAGTTAAAATCGTTTTTATAGAAAATGGACACAACTCAGAATCAGTGTTAAAGAAAATGGACACAGCTCATAATGCGTGTTTCAAAAATGGATATAACTATTTGAAAATTTTCTGGTTTGATTCCTCATTTTTAACTTCTATGAAAAAAAAAAATTTTTTTTCTTAAGAAAAAACTAATAGATCATTGAAGATTCATAATGTAATGTTGTCCATTTTCCTAAATCACTTAGTAAATTTTCTAAAATCAGTCTCTTTTTTCCCATTCTTCTAAACTCTCATTTTGAGCTGTGTTCAGAATAAAACGATCACTGAGGATTTATATAGCTACGGTTCAATAATACAACTGTTTGGGTTCTTTTCCAAAGAAGCAGGTTTTTCTAAACTAAATTTTTTTAAACAAAATTTCTCAAATTCGATATACTGATTTATACTGATTTTGAGAGAAATCTGAGCTCAAATAAGACTATTTCGGTGATTCAAATGTATCCATTAAAACAAAATTATATCATGCACTTTTGATTTGGGTGCAGTATTTTCAGAACATTCTCAATCCCAAACATTGTTTATTGAGTTTATTTAATGCTTTTTTTTAATTATAAGTAGACAGCGGATTATATGCACTAAAAAACGGACAAAATATGCATGCAAATATGCACTAAAAAACTTGAATATATGCTCTTAAAACTAGAAATATGCATTTAAAATAGAAATTAAAAGTTCAACTTATTTAAATACTACTACTTACTTTTTCCAACAAACACAGCTAAAACATTTTTTTGTTAAAAGGAAGAAAATCAAAATATTTCTTACTTGAATCTACACATTTCTGAAGAAAAAGCCTAAAACTGAAGTATGATAAATGAGAGAAGAAAAATCATCGCATTTTCCGGAAAGATTTTATTAAACTGAATAATTTTTGTTGCAATACACAACTAAGTGTTTTTCCAAATTTTCAAGGGTGAATTGATGTCGTCGGTCATCAAAGATCATTTTGAAAGCAGAAAATGACCTCTCCACGTCAACCGATGTTATTGGACAAAACTTGTACAATTTCGTACTCATTGGTTTTACTTTCTCTGGAAGTTCAGTTCCGTTTCCATTAAGAAAATCATTTATCTTCTTCACTGCTGCAAAACCCGAATTTTTGTTTTGAACGAAACACCATTTTTCTTTTACTTTCTTCCCAACTGAGTCTGGAAGAGCATTGATGCACTGTTGATTTTTTTCAATTTCGGTTATGGCCTCAGCCAGGGGAAGACCTCGTGTTTCGAGCTTTGTTATTGCTCCACTTAAGAAAGAAAAGTGAGTGCCAATTATGGCTAAGTCAAAGAGATATCCTGTGCAAAGAGATATCCTGTAGTAATTTTTTTGTGACATAAACTGAAGAAGCACAGGAACTGTCAATTGCATCTACAACTGACTTTATTGCATCAAAATTATTAGCGTAAAAACGTGCAGCTTCAATCCATGTACCCCACCTGGTTATCACAGGCTGTGGAGGTAAGGGCAAATCAGGATACATTTCTTTATACAATTTTATGCTCACAGGTGCCGTGAGAAAAACTTTCTTGATACCAGAAATTAAATCATTCACAGAGGAGAATGCTTCTCGAACAGTCTCAGCCAGTCTGTGAACAGCATGAGCCAAACATGTAATATGAAGCATTCTGGGATGAAAAATTTCCAGTGCTGCTGCAGATTTGACCATATACGGAGCGGCATCACTGACAAAAATCAAAACATCTTCAGAACCATCTTTATCAGGCCATAATAATCTGATAGAATCATTGACAAACCGTGGTATGGTTGAATGATTGACTTTTTCAAGGGCTTTGCTTGCTAGAAGATGTGGTCGAGTAGGAATATTATCCATTTTTCCTCAAATAAAATGAGCAATATAGCGACCGCACTTATCTGTCGTCTCATTGACTTCAATCCATATAGGGCCATCTCCAATATCTCGTCGAATATCATCCAGTACTTCGTTATATATCGGTTGAAGGTAGTTCTTTCTTAAAGTCGATTCATCGGGAATGATCTGATTGGTGCAATATTATTTTAAAAACTGTCTTAAGTTTGGATTATTTAACTTTTTTAAAGGAATATTGCTGCTTTCTAAGGCTTTGCATAAATCACTAGAAAAATCACTTTCCTTTTTAGCTGCTTGAACAGGAATAGTTAATAAACTTTGAACAAATGCTTTTGTATTCTGCTTTTTCTTCGCGGAGTGAGCATTAGTCTTTATATGTTGATCGATTTGGTATTTTTTTTTTCCACAGAAAATGTGTTTTTGACAAATCACACAAAATACTATTTCCCCATCGGTCGTAAAGTCCTTCCCATATCCACGAAATCCATGTCTTCATTAAATTTGATTTAGTCGACTTAATTTTTGGCATATTATAAAATTCAGTTGTCAAAAATCACGTTCGAAGCTTCACTAACTACATATTCAACTGATGGATGCCGAAACTATCTATCTATCGGATGGACTATTGAAATATGTTAGAATAGCAGCTCTTTCCGAAAATGTATTCACTCCACCTTTTAACTAATCAATCACATGAAAGGGAGTTCATTTTCTACCTACCACAGAAGCCCTATTTTTCCCACACAGATTGACAATTATTTATTCCAGGAAAAGACATCCCTTCATAGAATATCTGACCATCCCTTTCTGAGGTTTCTATGACGAATATCTGTTTGGGTGGGCCCTTTGTTCCCCCTTTCCCGACACACACCTCATTTCTACATCTTTTTCACGTGATTGCAATCACCCCCAGCAACATCAATCCAGCTGACCCTTTCAGGTGATAAAGAACGACAAAACAAAATTTAAAGCGTTCCTTATGCTAACATAAAAAGAATAGTGATATGGTTTTAGGAGGGAAAAGCCATAAAATGCTGAAAATATGCATTTATAAGAGCAAATATACCTTTTTATGCATTTATATGCACAAATGGCAAAAAGTGCTAAAATATGCAATTGCATATGCACGTATGCAATTCATATTATCCGCTGTCTAATTATAAGATTAGAAAACTGTCTAATAGCAAGGAATGACTGTCCAAAGGCATATCAAATGACTTGACCAGCCAACAAGTTCTGAACGATTAATTTAATATCTTTTATTAAATTTCCAATTTTAATGTAGTATATATTTTTAAGACTTATACTCTATTTATATTTGTTCTAAAGACTTTTCCTTTATAAATATCAGGCAAAAGAAGTTCCTGCTTGAAGGAACAATTCCTTTTCCAATGTAATGTGGTTTAATGCATATGCACCTAGTGAGTCAAAATAAAAAGCTATCCCTTGCAAATTTAAGTAACAATATTCAAAATTTTAATGAATTCAGTACGGTTGAGCAGTTCTTAACCATTTATTATGTGGTGAGAAGTGTATTTCGCACCAACTTCGCTAATCTTTAAATGTCGACAGCAAGCTGTTTTCCCACTGATTTGTGCTGCCATCTGCTGGTAACTTTCGAAATAAATACGAAAAATACTAATGAAGGGCTTCGTCTACGTAAATGCGGATAACAGAAAAGATTAGTGAGAGGTCAAGGAGAGAGGCCAAAATCGGGGAGCCATTTTCTCATATGTTTGTTTAAAAGGTCATTTCTCATCGAGTCTCTGTGTAGTTTTAAACACAGAATTTATAAATTTGCTTATTTATAAGCAAAAAAGTTCATGTTTTTGCCCAATTCTTTAAAGTAGGTAAATTTTGAAAATCCCACCTTCCTATCAAAACTTGACTGAAAATCAAATTAATTTTGGTCAATAAACTAAATGAATTTTGTTTTATAAGTGCATTTCAGTCTGAGAATTATTTTAACACAACATTACAAGAAAAATGGTTCTTTATAGAGTTAAGCACTCAACAAATAAAACCCAAACCAATTTGTAGCAGATTTGGAGGACGACCAAAACTTACCATCAGCATAGATTTTGAAACAAAAATCTGGCAAAACCCGGCAATAAAGCGAATGAAATTAAGAAATGTTCCCTAGAAAGCCAGAGCCCTCCCCGGGTTGTCACGACAATGATGAATGTTATATGCTCCTTATGAACACACAAATTTGAGGAGTGGTAATAGTGTGTAATTAACTACAGAAAGCATCCAATTAGATAACTATTTATTATTGTTCTAAACAAGTGGTGACATAACCAACATATGGTATTTACAATGTTTATATGGAATAATGGGAAATAGGTATGGAATCAAGGAATTGTGCGCTCTTGTGTCCTCAGCCTTCTCGGCATCAAACTCAATCTATTATTATTAATTATTTATCCGCAGATGTTGTGACAGGTTCAATATAGTCACCAAAAAAGCAATAATCCGCAAAGCATCATAGTCAGCACCTAACCACGTTAATGATGATGATTTGTCATAGGTTGTTATTAAAGATAAAATTCTTAGCTTCTCTTTCAAAAAATTGTCTTTATGTTTGAAAGACCAGCTTAACATTTTTGAGAACATTAACAATCTCAGATAATGCGGTTTTTAATTAAAAATATGTAGCTTAAAAAAAAACTCATAAATGCGATAAAATATTTTTAAAAAAATCGATTACACTTAAATAACTGTAGATGTATTTAATTTTTGTGTAAATGATACAGTTTAAATTTTGGAATTTTTATTAAGTATTACAGAATATTGTAATAAAGAGCTGTTTCATATTTTGGTCACTAAGCAAAATACATTTGACTGAAATAATAAAATATTTTTACGCCTTAAAACTTTCCAAAAAATTATTTCAACCTGATTTCTTACCTTTCTTATTATTTTTCATTGCAATTAAAAATTAAAACAAATATATCAACTATATTTTTACATAGTTTTGTTAAGGCATACAAACATATAAAAAAAAAACATTTTTTAAAAAAATGCTCCAAATCTTCCTCAAAAAGTTCATCCAAGATTAGCTATGAAATCGCTTCATACAATCAACATTTTATAAAATTTCAGGCACTTTAAAAAATGTAATATTGTTTTATATAGTCCAACAATGTTTCAGAGGTGTCAACTGCTCCGAATTCAACAAAGTAGTTTAACAAATGGTAGAAAACTACCAAGTAAAATTTGTATATTTTCAGTTAATTCCGCTTACTTTAAAATAGGCATAATACAGTATAACTGTAACAGATAAGTCTTTGAAATAGTTAGAAATAGTGGGGAATAAAAACCCTATAAATTGAATTTACTTTGCATTGAAGGACTCGAAAATATATATCCGCTGTCCGGAGCATCTCTGATGTTATCCTACATGAGCGATAGTTTAAGATCAAGGTTTATATTCATTAAAGTAGATTAGGAAAGGAAAAAAATCGGACAGGAACAGTTTTTCGTCAGTGCGGCCGATCTTCAGTGTGTAATAACTCTCAAGGAGAATCGATTTATTTCGTTATTGATTTTTCATAACTTAGTAATCTTCAAAATGCAACGGATTGTCATTGATCTTATTGTAATTTTTGCGAAGGATGGACCTAAACCATTCTACATCCTTGATCATCAATTGCATTGAAATTTTAAGACTTACTCTTTTTGTTATGTAATTACAAGCAATAATTATAAGAAGTCTTCTTATTTGATTTTTTTATGTTTCTAAATTTAGCTGATTATATTGTGATGCAATTTGGAAGAGTGTCTGAAGATGTGTTTACCATGGATTATGGTTATCCAATGTGCGCCATTCAAGCATTTGCAATTGCGTTATCAAGTTTGGACAGTAAACTAGCTTGCGAGTAAGAAAAGGAGTGAACAAACATTAACTTGTGTTTAAAAAAAGAAGGAAAAAAAACTTACATCGATTGGTATCTGTGATACCGTATGTCTTTCGTGTATTGTTCATAGCTGTATATATGTTATAGCTGTATATATTAATGTTGCAACATAATTTATAAGATCGGTATAACATTTTGTGGCCATATCAATGTGGATTTATTGATGTTTTATATTATAGTATTCTTTCTAGACTTGTGAATTGTGTCCAAGAAATATATATATACTTGTACAGTGGAACCCCGGTTTTGCGTTGTCTGTTTTGTACGTTATTCCGCTTCCTCCGTCATTTTCTGCTGGTCAATAAAAATTGCCTAAACCGATAATGTTTAAATATCCCGGATTTTACGTTACACTTTTTAAGAAAATTCGGCTACATAGTTTTTTTTTACCAGACCAAAATAATTTTCTCTACAAAGTATTTCTCTACAAAGCTCGTACAAACTTTTTTTATGTTTTTTAAAGAGACTTGTTTATTGGCCTGTTTGTAGCTTTCCTGGCATTCTTTCTATTCTGTCTTACTGTTCTTGTGAGAGGGGATTTCCCCTTTGAATTAAAATCAGAAGGGTGATGGTATGGGCAAGTCAATAGCCCACTTTAAGAGGGGTCAAAGGTAGTATGGGAGCTAGTGGAATTTTTTCCAGCAAGCTTTAACCTTTGAGTCTTGAATTTATCCAATCATTTAAAGAACATCCTATTCAAAATTGTTACTCTTAACAACTTATTAGGTAGTAATTTTTTTTTCTTGATTCCTGTGACCTGAAAAATGCTTTTAAAGCAACAATTAATGTTCTGTAAGCTTTGAATTTGCTTTCTACAGTGTGGGAGAAAGTCGACTAAAATGCATTGCAAATGTGTTAAAGAAAGCAGCTTGGGGTTATACTCTTTTCGTTATCCAATGGGAACATTGGCCTTTCGAAATAAAATTGCATATGTGAAGATTTTCTGAAGTCGATGACGACTGCAGCAAACATTTTATTACTTTATGTGCCTGCTCTCGATGATAGCGATGGAAACTATGAGGATGAACAAAAAATATAGGAGGATATGCCTACAACTGATCAGAGTTTGAAAGTATAAAAACTCTAACATTTGTGAATGTAAACCATAAAGTAAATTTGTAAACAATAAATAGTAAGTTGAAAGGGATATTGTTGATTATATCTAAAAGCAAAATCATGTAAAGATGATATATTTTTTCTAATAGTTCATCTCGTAAGTACCAATTTTTGAAAAGATTACTTCGATTTTTTTTTTTACCCCTAATTTACGTTATTCCGCTTCTTGCATTTTTTAACGTTAGTCCGAGACGGAAAAGTCAAAATCGGAGTTCCACTGTACGTGCAATATATATATATAATATATATATATATATAAAACTGGGTTCCCAAATTCAAACTTTTTTGTAGAAAAAATTAATAAATAATTAGCTTAAAACAAAACATTTCGAAGATTTAATCAGACCCTTTTAGCTTGTTGTGGCCATATTGTTGCGACTTATTATTTTGCAGAGAATGTTGCGGAGCCATCTCATAGCAAATGATTGAACTAATTTAGCTGTGGCTTGTTGTACTGTTACCTAACTGAGGTTAAGAGAATTTTTTTGCAACATTTTGTCGCTTATTGTCTCACAATTAGCTTGTTATTTATCAGTTAAAACTTCATTCGAAAAAAAAATTACTTTTGGAATACCAACCTGACAAATCTATAAGTATGCATCATAATAGTGTTTGTTCCCTTGTTTTATATTTTTTATTGTGAGACACAATTTCAATAAAAACATAAAATTATAACTTTAGGAGGTTTAAAATACATAAGAAGAAAATTCTTTTGATAGTTGAAGATATAAATTGCACCATAAATTCTTATTTATTTAAATTTTTTATTCATAAGATTTTAATCATCCAAAAAAATTTGAAAAAATTGAAAAAAATAAAAAACGATTCAAATTTCTTAAAAGCTCTTTGTCAGTACTCGTACGGATGAAATTTTATTCCAATAGTAATATATTTCGTTTAAAAGTTCATTTATATCACTTTTGTATGTTTCAATTCTTATTTGTAGAAATGTCGTCATTGTGTATAAGATTCATATTCCAAATGTAAAGGTGTATCAAAAAGTATGGTTAATTAAGTTTCTAATTTTGAAAAAGTATGTTTTCGATAGTTAGGTAATGGTCGAGGGACAAATAAATAAAAAGCTTTTAAGTTTGACAAATCGCATCTTTATAATATTCTTGAGAGGAATCGTGGTAGTATCAAATCTTCCATAAAATTTTCAAAAAAATCTTGTTTCAGGTTTAAAGTTGTAAATCTTCCATTGTAACGGAATGGAGGTAATATTGGGTTAATGCAAAAGTAATTTCGTTTTTTTAGTGTGAAAGGAAACTCAATTTTTTCTATAAAAAAAGCTTTTATAAGTTAAATATCCTCATTATGTTTGATGACCTTTTCCTGGTTAATTCATGATTCTGTGCTCATAGAGCTTCTAGTCTTCATCAGCAAAAAATTCAACCAATCTGAGGTAACTCTTGTTACTGAAATTTTTACAATTTAAAAAATTTTGTGAACATCGAAATAAGTGATAATCCAATGGTTAAAGGTTGAGTCTATATGGGGAATGCAACATAACTTCCCAACCAATCTTCAATATTTTTGTGCGTATTGTTAAAGATGTGTGAGGCCTCCTATCGCATGGTGGAACACAATTTCATTGTGATCACCATGTAGCCATATAGCTCTAAACTTACACTATCGGATTATCACTTATTTCGATGTTTACAAACCTTTTTAAATAGTAGAAATTTCAGTAATAATGATGACCACAATTTGCTCTTGGTTGAGTTTTTTGCTGATGAAGATCAGAAGTTCTATGAGTGCAGGAAGAAAGATCGCAAATGTCAGAGAACCGAATGGAAGATAACTGATTAAAGTTCATTTTTGTGAGAAAAAAAATTGTTTTATTTCACAATAAAATACCGAAATACTTCAAGGGGCAAAATACATTGTAATCCGAAACAGCTAAATCAAGCTTATGCAAAAGATGTTCGAGAAACTTTTACTTTTAACCCTGCTGATGTTTATGATTCGACCATCTTTTTATCTGAACAGCACGTTTGTCCTTTTGAATCAATGGCGGTAAAGACCACCTTTAAAGTATATTTTTAGAATCCTTCCCAAGAATAAAGTAAAATATAAGTATACACATTAAAAGAGTTAATACTTCAGCGGGAAAGAAAACCTGCAGAAGGAACCATTTCTGATAAATGCGAGACTAAAAACAACTGCTTGATTTGCGGAAGAAAATTAAAAGGAGTTGAAAATCCCAGATTCGTCAGGCAATCAAAGTGTTTTTCATTCCTCACTCTTACTATTGTAACAACATAGTTTTAAACTTGTTGAAATATTAACTTGTGACCTTTAATCAGTGTTCTTTTTTTCGACTTCAGTTTTGACACGGATTCTAAAATTGTACAAGACATACATATACAAAGACAGACATACACTAAAAAAAATATTATCTACTTAAAATATTTTAGACCTTACTTTTTGATATACCTTGTAACTATCTAGTCAATACATATGTTGTGATAACCTATATAATTTTTTTTTTTATTGTTTATGTATAAAAATACGCAATCATTCTTGTTTGTTGCAAATTTATAAATTTCTAGTGCACAGAACTGTATAGACTAATTTTCAAATGGGAAAAACCTTTGATTGAACATGGCACTCAATAACAAAAATCACCAAATATATAAGAAAAAGAAATTTTTCGAATGAAACTAACTACTAGCATAGAGCGAACCAATGCGTATTTTGCGAATGAAATATTAAGGATATAATTGAGCAAAAAAGATAAATATAAAAAAGTTTTTTGTTCATTTCATTTAGAAATACATTTTTCAATAATCAAAATATGAATAGAGCCGGAGTAATTATAAACAAATATAATATAATGAGTTAGTAAGAAATATCTTTACCTTTTGCTTACAACATTCAGCATGCTGAAGCCTGTCATACTGGTCCACTTCTTGTACCGTGAGCAAAAGGCTAATATTGGAAAATTAAAATTTAAAATGCAAATGTTTAAAATTTAAAATAAAATTGTCATCATTTTTAAATAATTCCAATTCTAATATCAATCTATTATAAAATGTTTTGATCTTTATTACAAATACTACTGTTAGACTAGTAAACTTATAGACAATTAAATACGAAGAAACTTTAAAATATGCAATTTAGGAAAAAAAACTCTCTACTAAATTACATTGAACGAATTTTTCTTCTGTTCAAATTAAATATTAAGTATAGAAATTTTAAATAAATTGTATCATGGGTATCGCGCTGAAACAAGGTAACACAATATTTTTGTAGCTATGTATACATTTTTTATGATTATGGTATCTAGTTTTAGCTTTGAAAGGCCATAACTAGGTAACTAAAACTTTATTTTTTCAGTTTGTGTAAGAAATATAAGTTATTTCGTGTGAATAAATACATATTGTTTAAAAAAAAAATCTTCTTCCAAACTGGTTATGTAATCACCATCCCTTATATATTTTTAGAATATCAGACAAAAATGAAATTACAAGCACATTAAAGATGGCAATTTAATTATTTAAACTAAAAAAATACAAAAATAATTTACAAAACAGAAAAAAAAAACAGGAATTATTACTAAGAAAGACGGATATGAATCAATAAATCTGAGTATAGGTGAAACTTAAAAGCATTTAAAATAATCACTTTTCACTTACTTAAAATTTTTTGAAATCAAATAGGTTTGGATTGATCTAAGTAACTCGCCAGGTTTCGATAAGGTTTTTGTTTTTCCTCAATTAAATATTAGTTTTTGATAAGGTATCAGATTCCTATATAATTTTGGTTTCATTTTTGCCAATTCTAAAAATATATATTATGTGTAATAATGACAGAAGAGTCCATAGATTGGAAACATAACAGTTCGTTAAACCAAATTTATTTTACTTAATTTTATACATGCTGTTTATAAATATAGTTCATGCACGTATTTGTAAACCACTCAACTACACAAATTTTCATTATAAGTTTTATTTTATATATAAAAATACTTCTTATTTCACTATAGATATTTTTAATCAGTGTGTGTAATAATTTTATCTCGTGTTATCTATGTGTTCAGTAATGACATTATTATTAGTTGAAAAAAATAAAGTGTTCCTTCATTTTGTTTTATTCTAGATTAATTTTAAGAAAGAATCTACCAAAATCTAAAAACAAAAGAGAATAATTTTGTGTCTCTGCATCAAACTATAGACTATATTGATTAAGAAATGTCGAAATGGTGCCTATAGTTTTTATTAACATTTAATTTAAAAATCGGATTCTAATGTGTTAATCTTTAATAACATTTATTAATAATAATTTTTTATGAATAATAAAAAAATAATAATAAATAATAAATAACCACTAAAATAGTGATTTTAGTTAAATTACACTTGAACTAGTTTTATAAAAGTAATGAATATTTTTTAGATACACATAGACGATATTGCAAGATATACATAGACTGCTCTCTTAATTATATTGGGATATTTTTCTCTGCGATTGCCTCCCATATTTTAGGGTCAAAAACCCGAATTCATGGGAGAAAAAACGAATGTTCACTGAACGAAAGTTTGTGTTTGGGCGTATTCAAAGTATGCTTTATAATGTATGTTAAAGTATACTAATTAGAGATCATCATTTTAATAAACACATTTTTAAACAAGCTAATAAAAGCGAAAACCAATTGTTACTAATATTTAATGTAGAGAAATTCGTTTATAGATAGATAAATTCTTAACTAAAATCTGGAATCGACTTAATCCAAAAATCTCACAGTAGAAGAAGCTGAGGTATTTTATTTTTACGACTCACTAGAGGTACACAATGGGCTATTGGCGACTGTCTGAGAAACATACCTGAGGATGATCTGAAGACATGCTATAGCAATTTTAATCCTCTGCAGAGAGGATCTGAGCGGGAAGTCGAGCACTTTTCGGTAGAACAGTTTAACGAGGACCGATACCTCACACCCTCGGTCCTTTGGCAGACCGATCAAAGTGGCCACCCACCCGCTTACTGACCGCAGTCAGTGATGCTTGACTTCGGTGTTTTACTGGGAACCGTGCCTTGTAGGACTCACGGTACAAGAAAAACTTATTTCTTTTTCGCCTGTATTTTCTTTTTTTTCTTCTAGATTTTAATTAATCTGTTTATTAAACTCTTTAAATACCAGTCTTAGAGAATTGAAGAAGCTGATTCAGCAGATCGTATGAAAAATCGAAGTGTTTCGTGAATTTTTATTCAGAATAGAAAAAAAGGAGAATTCGGATAAAAATAAGGCTACAACTGTCAATCAGTTAGTTTGTGGTTCTAGCCTCTAATGGTAACAAGGTGTTTTCCTTATCTCTTGCTGTTAAATGAAATCAAATAATGCACGATTGATAAGTAAAATACATTTTAATGACGCAAGCTTGGGTATTTCTGAGGGGGAAATCCTGTTGTTATACTAGAATCATACGAAAAGGTCCTACAATGTTGTGTGGTTAATTAAGTTGAATCGCGCATGTTTGGTTAAAAGTGGGGTGGTTCAGTCTGAAAATTATGATCAAAACTCGATTGTATCGTATATACTCAGTAGAGCATGTATACAACAGTAATTAAACTAGAAAGTTTCCTCTACTTCAATTAAGCGCTTATCTTGGAGGATCTGATCATGAGAAGTTGAGGCCATGGGCAGGTACTGATAAGGAAGACTCAAAATTTTCACTGACCATAATAATTGTCCGAAGATCATTAAAATGGACAAAACGATATTTCGTCCGACGATCCGAGGAGGGAGGGGGACTTTATAGCTCTTTTAGGTTCAATTTTCTTGTTCTGTAATGAGGAGAAAAATTTAAATGCCTCCATATAAAGTTTGGTTCATCATTGCTGAAGTAGTGAAGCAGAGGGGCCCCAATTAGGCTAAGTCGGGAGTTGAATACCTTCATATTTCACTATGTAAGGCGGAAGGGTGATACCCTTCGATCATGGAAACTCTCAGATCCGAAGTGAAATAGTGAATACAAAAAAGATTCGTAAATCGTGGATAATCGCTTACAGCACAAAACTTGAGTCATATTCCTAACAACTATATTAGGCTTATTTAAGCCTAAATTATGATCAATCACAATATTAGGTTAGCTAAATCCGAAATTTACGCTTGAATGCCACGTTAGGCTTAGTAACTAAGCCGTAGTTTAACCTCAATAATATTTTTAACAGCCATGTTAGACTTAGCTGGGCAAAAACGATTCCCCTAACCACTTATATTAGGTTTAGCTTGGCCTTAAAAATATGTTTGACCACCATGCTAGTCTTAGTTAAGCCTAAATGGTGTCTCTAATCCCTACGTTAGGCATAGTTAAGCTTAAACGGTGTCAGCAAGCCTCGACAGACGGGCTTAGTGTGTCTGTAGGGTTGCAGGATTAGGCACTAGGTGCGCAGGACTGCACATGTCTTCTGGGTGACGGTTGTGTGGTTTCCGCGTCCAAGAGCACTGGACCGGAAGTGCAGGGAGAAGCTTACGCAGTGGTCGCGAAAAGCCACAAACCCGCTTCGCGGGTCGGTTGGCCAGTCTCTAATCGCCACGCTAGGCATAGTTAAGCCTAAACAATGTGCGAAGCCACCACGTTAGGCTTAATTAAGCCTAATCGATGCGCTTAACTACCACAGTAGGCTTAGTGACGTATCTGACTCTCGCTTTAGCCTTATATAAGCGTAAAAACTATTCCTAAGCTCCGCATCAGGCTCAGTTAAACCCAACTACCATATTAGGCTTTGTTAGCCCTTAAAAATATCTCTGACCATCATGTTAGGTCTAGTTGAGCCAAAAAGAGCTTAATGAAAAAGTTAGCTTAGTTAAGGCTTAAGAATGTGTCGGACATCCATGTTAGGTTTAGGTAGGCCTAAATGATATGCTCATTTATCCCGCAAGACTTGCCTAAGCCTAACGTGGTGATTAAGCGTTTCGTTAGGCTTAACCAGGCCTAATATGGTGGTCTTACTTCTTTTTCAAGCCTAGCTAAGTTTAGCGCAGGTAGTTAGGTGTCATTCATGTTAGACTTAGGCAGTACTAAATAATGAATCTGAAAGCGTTGCTAAATTGTTGCCACGTTCATTTTCTTATTTTAGTAATAAATATTTAGTTTTAAATACCTCGCACCCTCGGTCCCTAGACAGGCTGATCAAAGTGATCACCCACCCGTTTATTGACCGCAGTCAGTGATGCTTGCCTTCGGTGTTCTACTGAAAACCGTGTCTTTACAATCAGTCTACTGGGGGACTCAAAATTGCAAGTTGCTACAGAGCTGAGCATTAGTAGTAGTAAACTCAAAAAACTGGGTTGGCTGTTCAACGACGGTTATAAAATAAATTGTTCAGAGAAAAAATATTAAACATTTGCGTGAATATTTATATAGATGTTTTTATAATTTATTTGAGATATTTCTTATTTGTAATTTATTCATTTGTGATCAGCAGTGCTCAAATTAGCAATGTTTTGTTTAGCAATTTTCTATTCGATTTCTTGAAGTTTAATAATTACATATAAAATATATTATTGGAAAATTACGATGTGGGCATTATAGAGTAAATGTTTGAGCCTGTGGTGTGCCGTTAGATGGGCAAATTTGTCTATTTTATTTAATATGGTTTAATAGAGGTGTCATCTCCTGGCATCATCATTTTGAGTGTGACAGCCATTAAATTCTTTAAATTTAATATGGTGTGAAGACTAACATATGAGGAAGCTCTAGAATTCGATAATTTTTTTATTCAATGCTAAAATATTTTCATCAAAAGTTCGAAATTGAGATTTTTTTAAATATTTGACATCTTTGAATGGTAAGCTACATATGGCACAAGAATTTTTTCAAGCATAAATTTTGTTTTATCAGCTTTTTCAAATTCTATTTCAGCGCTGATATAGCATTAGCAATAGAAGGAAAATAGTTGTCAAGCCATATTTCTCGAAATCAGCAGAGAAGCACTTGCGTTGTTTCTTGAATTGCACGGCAGTATACTAAAAAAGCGAAATGTCTAAACTTTTTCTATAAAATTAAACTTTCATCACCATTTTTATGTTATTGACAACTGAAAAAATGCAAGTTCATGTTGTTAAAAATAGCTAGCAGAGCAAAGTATTCTTGTAATTTTTTTTTCGTAGAAGGTAAAACAGATCTTTAATTTTTTTTCTTAGCACGAGTAAGTATAGGCTCTTATACAATTGACAGGCTCTTGAATTAAATCGTACTTTTGTTATACAATTGAAGGGCTCTTCAATGGAATACTATACTCTTATTATACAATTGGAGGTCTCTTCAATTGAGAAATGCTTTTATTATGCAATTGAATGGCTTTTCCATTAAATACTATACTCTTATTATACATTTGAATGGCTTTTCCGATAAATACTACTCTTATTATAGAATTTAATGACTGTTCAATGGAATACTACTATTATTATACGATTGAATGACTCTCCCGATATATACTACTATTATTATGCATTTAAATGGCTTTTCAGATAAATTGTACTCTTATTATACAATTTAATGGCTCTTCAATGGACTACTACCTACATATTACAATTGAAGGGTCCTGTACAAAAACCAGGTATAAAAGTGCAAGGACCTAACAAAAATGCAAAAGTTTTCTCCAATGGGTTAAATAGTGATGGAAAAACTGAAAAAACCAATCATCTTTTAATTTCAATTTATTCTCATCAACTATTTGTGAATCTTGAATTAACTTTAGTCTTGCACAACGCCATTTAATTGCTTTGAATTTTGATTAATGGGCTTATATTTAATTTTCCTGTTCGTAAATTAAAATAAAAATTAAACAGATCAGCAGTTTTTCTATTGTCCTCTATGTATAGAGCCTTATGTATAGATAAAATAATCTATCATGGTTGTAATAAAATTATTATAGTATAATTTGTTTATGCATAGTGATAATTTATTGATAAAATTATATCCCTCACATAAGAAGTGAGAAGGTTTTATTAAAAATATTTTTAATGAATGCTGAATAAATAGGATTATATCATAAAAAATTCTTGTGAAGGATCAGGTGAAGGGTTTTGTGATTCACATAGAAGAGGATCATTTGATATAACAGGTTCGTTCAAATCCTCATAAAATTCATTAACAGAAGTTGGTGATGTTGGCGGGGTTACGACTTTCTCATGTGCGTCATCAACTTCTTGTTTAAGAAAATCAAATAGATGAAGATTTCCACATCCTTTCAATTCTTCTTCGAGATTCTAAAATGAAATAAAAAAATGTATTAATGTAATAATAAAATTTAATGTTCATCTTCAAAAATTGCTTAACATGTTGAGTGTCACAACAGTCATCGATGACTGACGTAAAATATGATATAAAACTAAAAACTTAACTTTGATTTAAATAATTTTTTTTTAATTTTTTATAACCGTCCTTGAACAGCCGACCCAACTTTGGGTTTACGATTACTAATGTTTAATTACGTACACTTGTGATTTTGAACCCAATCCGGAAGACAAGGGAATTTCTAGATCAAGTATTGGGAGAAATTTGCCTTCGTGGAGGACTTTTTGATAGAACTAACCTGCTTTTGCGTTACATGGCGAGGAAAGCCGCAAAAACCTCCAATGGTTAGCCTGACGGCAAGGTGACTAACCCATGATCCGTCTACCACTGAGGATATTTTACGTCAGCACTGTGGTCGGTGCGAGCCGGATGCAGAATTCGTATCGCTGGGATTCGAACCCAGTTCACCTCATTGGGAGGGTAGCGCGATTCGCATTACAATGCATACAATATATGCACTATATACAATGCTTCGTATATACGAAGGCTTCCGATTCTCACCTGAGACTTCGGGGAGTAAGGTTGTGTTATAGCCAAGCTCCCGTGCTACTATGTCTTCCTACCACAGATTCGGCTGCGGTGGCAAGCGAATGTTCTATGCAAGGCCGCTTCCTATCGAAGACCATGATGATAGAAAGGTTTGCTTGATGATGGAAAGGTTGATGAGATTAGAAAGGTTTGCGACGAATATGCTAATAAAAAGGCATCTCCTGACAACATTGATGATTTGATTAGAAGGATGAGATCCTGCAAAGAAGAAATAGAAAATCGACTCAAAAGAAGAATCGACGACTGCGACTATGAAAATCAATTCAGATTGGGATATATGCTCGAAAGGTACCTGATAATCAAGGAGGAATGGGCTGCGAAGGAAACAACTATGCCAGATCTTCACCTAACAAAAAGCTGAAAACCCTCATTAGGGGATTAGAAATAGACACCGATATTCCTGAACTGGTGAAATATCTTAAAGATTTCGGACTTTTCAGAAAAAATAGTTCAACTCAAGAGGAGAAGCTGGTGGGACCTCAGGCACTTTTCCTGATCATTTAATCGGATACCAGAATGAGTAGAAACATCTTCAACATCAGTTCTATGCTAGAGTGACCAGTTCAAATCGAGCGCTTCCGTGGGGGACGCTGTCAAATTCAGTGCTACAGATGCCAAAAATATGGACACACTTAGCGAAGTTGCACTACATAAGATCCAACCTGCATGAAATGTGCCGGAGCCCACTTCTCGTACCAGTGTACGAAGCCAAGATCTGACCTGGCAACCTGTATCAACCGCAACGGTGAAAACCCAGCCTGTTTTACGGGCTGCGGTGCAGGACCTTGGAAACCACCGAGGGAACGAAGAACCCATCCCAAGAAAGCCACAAATACTGTAAGCCGTTTTTTGCTGCTCTTCAGGGAAATGAAGGAGCTCCTAAAGGATGAAGAGCTTGCTAAACTGTTTCGTTCTCTTCTCCCCGACACCCAGGATTAGACGTGGAACTCCACTACTTCCAAGACTCCATCTCTCCTGACTTCCACAGGATTATCCTGTGGATTACCTATTTTCATCTTATTTCTATTTAGGTACTCATAACTTTACAGTACATGACTCATCAGAATCAACGAATCAGTTAGTGGCGCTTCGCTCCAAATACTGAGATTTTACCTATATCCAGCATCCAGCATACGAAGGCCTTAAAGTAACGAGCGTAGTTTGACGGTTCCTTAAAAGTACGCGTGGTGCTCAACGTGTCATAAGCTGGAATAGAAATCGATATTTTATTTAGAATAATACCTGTTTTTTCTTTAAACCAAATAACTAAGGTTGGTGAAGTAAGTTTTAACCAAACAAGTAAGGCAGTTGATTGGTGCCACTTCAATTCATCGCGCACAATTCATCTTAGAATAATTCATCACTCAAAATTTTCCTAGGCCACAGTTTGTCTGGACACAATTCATCGCAGGCACAATTCGTCGGAATGACAATTCTTCGTGGATGCAATTCGTGGCGAGCACAATTCGTCTCAAGTACAACTTATTGCAGTTTTGATGGAAGACATCTATTTGCGACAATAAAACGATTGCATTGCTTAGAAAATCTAATTGAATATTTAATTCGTGACCGTTTAAATACTCCAAAAACACCTAAGGAGGGAGGTTTGGTAATTTTCGTATTGTTACTTACTAGAGCTTGGTGAGGTATGAGCAATGCTTGCGTAAAATAATAAAATCTCCTTATTTTCTTGAAATGCAAAAAATGTGCTGTAATGGAAAATGCAAAAAATTTGCTCTTGCCACCCTGCATAATAACCTCCTGAAAACGATGTACATTGGTTGCAAAATAGTTTTTAAATTAGGATATGTCTTAACTATGTGAAATATTTGTATCCGTCGTAACATATTAGTCACGAAAAATACAATATTGTACTCTCCGCCCTTGCTGTTGAAAATACTCTAGATTGTCTAAATTCAACTTTTTCACCTTAATAATTATTTAAAAATATTATTAATAATTACTACTTTTTCACATTTTTCCATTATTTAATTTCAGTTTTTGTAGCAGTACTTTTTGAATTAAAAAAAGGATAACTTCAGCTATTAAATACGAAAAAAAAACTTTTATAAATATGATAGGTTGTACCACTGAAACTGGGGGCTTTTTAGGGTATGAGAATAGTAAAAATTTCAAACAAAAGCAATTTGAAACAAAATGAAAAATAGAAATTTAAATTGAACTTAAAAATCCGCCATATTAGCTAAATATATAAGGATATATAAAAATTAAGTAAATTAAGTAAAAAAATTAAGTAAAAAAATGAATACTCAGACAAATATATGAACATTTATTACGTTTGGCAAAGCGTATGCAACTATCATTCATAAATGAGCCATAATAAACACCTTTTTTTTTAATGTTACACCAAATCAATCATGTCCTTTTTAAAGAAATTCCTTTACCAAGCATATCCTGAAGCGCCTCTTAATATTCGGACGCTCACGTCCACGGAGATGAGATTTTTCATCAGAAATTCAAACAAGTGGACATTCGAAGAAAATAAATAAGGGCCATAAGAAAGATGGAATGACCCATTTTGAATCACTCAATTGTCCATGGTCTCATTTTGCTGAATGAATTCCCTTTACTTCCTTGAAAAGTCAATGTACCTAATTTAATTCGCTACAATATACAGGGTGGGTGTATTCGAAAATTATATGAACGATCAAATATCTCAAAAAATACAAATCTGATCAAAAATCTAAAATTGTATGAAATGTTTTCAAAAGTGGCATTGAAGGTGCGAAATATTTTTTAACAAATTCCCTGAGATTAGGCAGATGATGAAAGGACCATTAGAACGGTTTTTCGAAATATCTAACATGTCTAGTTTCATTTTATCGATATTTTGAGATTTCTCCATTTAAAACAATCTGTACCTCAAATGATGTCAGTGAACCAAAATGCACGAGTTTTAGAGGTAAAATAGAAGTACTTTATTGGATTAATGGAGAATTCTGAAATATAAATAGGGTACTCTTTTTCTTTCTTTTTTTTTCTAAATTTTTTTATATTTTTTTTTATAACTGTCGTTGAACAACCGGCCCAATTTTCGGGTTTACAACTACTAATGTTCAATTCCGTTTGCCTTGTAATTTTGAACCCAATCCAGAAGACAAGGGAACTCCTGGATCAAGTATTGGAAGAAATTTGTCTTCGTGGAGGACTTTTTTGATGGAACTAACCAGCATTTGTGTTACATGGAGAGGGAGACCACGAGAATCTCTCACTGTTAGCCTGACGGCAAAGGAACTCTAACACATGATCCGTCTACCACTGAGGATATTTCACGTCAGCACTGTGGTCTGTTCGTATCGACCACACATCGGTGGGATTCGAACCCGGTTCACCTTATTCGAAGGCGAGCGCTCTATCCCCTGATCCAACACGGCTCATAAGGTGCTCTTGTAAGGTTTGGAAGTGGCTATTAGCTTCATACCAAGGAGTGAGGATGGTTTGGTTTCATTGAAAGCATCTTTTTAAAATGTATCGCACATGTATTTCTAGGTTTTTAGTCCGATGTGCATCCCCAGAGATCAGTGGCTGTTTCCTTTTCGGACACTCTGCATTCAAGTAAGTATTAACTAAACAAAAAAAATGAGTTCTGGAGATAAATTCTTTAAAAATTTTTTTATACCACCTTGTGTATCAATAACATTTCTTATCACTTTGCAGAAAGTGAATTTATGACGTTTCTTTGTATACATATTACGAAATAAATTCATAAAAGTATTTAACTAACTGACGTGGGAGTCGCAGAGACCCAATTTTTGAAGGGGACGAAATTAAATTGCAAGATCACGAAAGTTTTCATATAAGAAAAGTTCACATATTAAAAGGTTCATATAAGAAAAGTTCACATATAAAAATGTTCATATAAGAAAAGTTCACATATAAAAAGGTTCATATAAGAAAAGTTCACATATAAAAAGGTTCATATAAGAAAAGTTCGTATATAAAAAGTTCATATAAGAAAAGTTCATACATACGAAAAACACTTTTTTAAATTTGAAAAGGATTAATTATTTTTATCCATTTCCTGTTTTCAATTTTGAGGAATTTAAATCAATGATGATTCATAAAAGTCTTCTCAGTCTGAAATATTGAGAGGAACTTTTAGAAATTTTTATTTTTGCGCGGCTCATGGAAAGCGATAATCTTTTATGGGTCTTTTGAACATTTTTCACCAAGATATAAAATAGGACTGTTAATTCTCACCTGAACTCTTTTTATCAGATTTCTGTTTTGTGTTTCTAAAATTTTTTGTTTCTCTTCCATTTCTGGTATTCTAGCAACATCACGTTTTAAGCAACGCAAATAAGTAACAGATGATCTTAAGATAGTTCCTTTGTTGTGTCTTTGTTCCCGAACTAGATCATAGTATCTGAAATGTTGTACAAAAAATATTTAATAGTTATAAAACATAGACGTAATTATTGACCTTCGCTTACTAAGGAAAATGAAAATAAAAAGTCGTAATTTTAATGCCTTAAACTCAATTTATATGTTTAAAATTAAAGCAAGGATTTAATTTTAAACAAAATATACATACTAGGAATGCTAGGACTTTGAACAAACAAATTTGCTAGGATTCATAAAATGCTACAAACAAATTTGCTGGGACTAAAAAATCGACGAAAAAAACTTAAATATTTAAAAGGTTAAAAAACTTGAAAGGAAAACGCCAATTTGGGGTGATTTTTTCTGCTGGATGAAAATTATTAACAGTGATCATTGAGGCTCTTTCGCTGTCGTAAAGAATTATCTGTGTAAAGAATTATTTGTGTAAAGAATTATCTGTATAAAGAATCTGCTGTGAAGAATTATCTGTATAAAGAATTGTCTGTGCAAATAACTTAAAAATTTAAAAAAAAATTATGAAATTTTTTTTTAAATCGTAAATTCAGAGAGATTTTCCCTTCAAGATGAAAACTATCAAAACCAATGACTAGTTTTCAATTTCTGCATATTTTTGTGAGCCCAATATTGTAGTGTCAGAGTAACTTTTTAAAAATTAAAAATTAAGTTCACAAAGCATTTTATTTTCTGAAAACTTTCATATTAAGTTTCGCGCCATTTTTAGAATTTGCATATAGTGTTATTTTCATATAAACTTAAAGAGTATTAGCTAAAGAGGGGAAATACTTAACCTAACAGTCATGAATAACTGTTACAAACAAATAAAAGTTGTAAAAATATATTACAAGCAAATAAACATAATTTCACTTGACAATAGAGTCTTCGAAAAATATTCTAAGATATTGACAAGTTAGTACTACTCCAAGTATTCCTCACCAATCATAAAATAAATAAATGCATAGTCAGCGTAGACAATTTACTTGTTTTAACGGAGCGATTAAAATAAAAAAACTCATCCTATCAATCAAAATAGCAATTTTTTTCTAAATATTAATATTATGATTCACTCAATATTTGGTGCAACTAACCTGGATAAAACAAAGCAAAATTGTATTGAAAATACTAAGTAAAATATACATCTTTCAAAAGATTTTTGACGCTTGTTTCTTGTCCTTATTTTAGCTAAATTCAATTGTGAAATTGAATATCCAAAGTAGCTACAAAAAATGAAGTGTAGCACAGTTTTCAAAAAATCATGCGAATGTTTCTGATGCAGTTAAAAATGTTTTAGAATTGTTAAAGTAAGAGCTTGATTATAAAGCAAAAAGGGAGACGGGATTTTTGGTCAAAAACGATGGAGAATTTAATATGAATATGGTAACTATGTTTTAATACACATAGTCGTGAGGGGAGAAAATATACGTGACGAAAAATAAAATGGCTAGCTGTTTTCGATTATTTCTAAGGCAGATATCAAAATGGATGTTCTTGTCATTTAACCTTACTACATTGCTCACATAAAAGAACAAAAAAACGGGATACAACACTCGTATCTCTGCGTTTTCTTCTTTTTTACGTTATCGTAAGAGCTGCCACATCAAAGCACATTTAATAGAAACGAATTACGTCACACCTAAAATCTATCAAACATTATTGTCTAGCGCTGCCACTTTTCACATTATATATGGGTGATTCTTTTTAAACACGACAATTCGAACCAAACAATTTCTTCAAATTTAAAGTCTTCAAAATAATCTGAAATTCTTTTGTATTCTTCTTTAGTTACACTTATTAATACCTTACAGACAGCAGTGTAGCTTATTGACATTTGTTCGAAAAAAAAAATAGAAATTCACCAAATCTTGAATGCCAAGAAAATGACATATTAGCTTAGAAGTTTTAAAAACAGTCATTTTAAGTTAATGGTAAGTAACTTAACTTAAGCCTTTATGTTAGATGAAAATTAATTGATTGCATAAATTAGTCTTTTTATCCACTGTAGAAAGAATCAAATTTTTTTGTGTTGCTGATATGCACAGAATAAAATTTTGTATAATAATCAATCATTAAATAAATAAATAACTTTGATTTACAATCATACATAAACTTGGTATTAGGTTAATATTTGCTTTCCCTCCTTACATTATTAGCAGTTTAAAAAAAATTCTGATAATACTTCAATGTCCTGGCATTCATAAGCCAGGAAAAAGATAGCCGGGATAATGACAAATTCGCCATTTTATAGCATATAACTTTACTTTATTAATTTAATATTTTGGCCTAAGACGTTTATATTCTGCAGAAAACAACAGGATTTTTTAAAATAACTCAGATAAATCTATGTAGTTTATGTTATTAATGATCTCAAGAAGCCAGGAAAATGACAACACATAAACCTACTCACCTTGAGAAATTTTTCGAAATAGATTTTGAACCAGAAAATTAGTTCTTTATTTTTGCAACGAGACATGTTCATATAGGAGGGTATCTAATGAATCCATTAACATAATATATTGATTTCCGGCTCTATCTATTTTGGTTATAAACCACTAAATAAAAGTAGCCAAGAAAAGGACAGATTTTCTTGGGACAAACAAATTATTGACAGAAAAAATTAATTTAAACGAAGTTTTTGTAAATAATACCCTCTGCGTATATTCTATAAATGCTTACACCGGTTGAGATAAAAAAATTAGATATTGAAAAATTTATGGGAAGTTTTGAAGCTGGTTATTATTGGAAACATTGTTTGGGACATGCCAGGAAAATGACATTTTGATATTCAATTAAATTTTTCAACTATACAAAGCAGTCAATGCTAGTGCAAAGTCATTTTAAAATACTAACAGCGATGCTATTTATAATTTTTTTTTAAAAAAAAGTTATTTTAGTATTATAGTATTAGATCTTGGAGCAAGGGACAGTGAATTGTCATATTTCGTGAGATAGCATTTCAATTAGATTTTCAATTTTTCACTCTGGGGTTCATATTTCAATGAAAAGAGTTTCTGTTCTTGTAACCGTGAGAACTGAATAATCGTTTAAACGCATCCCTTAAATAAACTTCATTTCGTTTTCTCAAACTGTATTCTCACCAAGATGTTATATAATATACTGGACGATTATATACTGACCGACATTTAATATGACTCATTGTTAGGGGTAAAAATTGCTTTAGAACAATACTTCGGCATTTGTGAAAAATTTAAATGCTAATTTAATACATCTCAGATCATTATTGAAAAACATACTTGAATTAAAAAAACCTCTTCATTTTACTGATATATTTTAGTGATTTAAAACAGCCTATAACTACACTTCGAAATACACAAAAATATATTACTTTGAAACATTTTTTACTGTTTTCATGGATCTTTTAAAATCTATTACATAAACTAAAGGATGCCATCCCAAAGAATAATTTGAATAGTATATATGAAATAACATTTAATTCATTATTATAAAAACGTAAAGTTAAGAAATGAGGCATTTAATTGAATGCAGAACTTCCATCGTATTAAAACAATTTTCTAGACAAAATGTCCCTTTTTTTTATCTAATTAAGAGCCTTGTACGGTCAATCCAGATAGGATTTACAGCTTATCATTCGTCAACTCTGTAGTTTTGTAATTTTGAATTTAACTCATAAAAAATCTTGAATAAAGCATTTGGAGAAATTCACCTTTGAGTAAAACTAATCCTCGTTTGCATAACATAAAGAAGAAAACCAAGATTAGCCTAGTGACAAGGGGCCTCTAACCCAGGATCCGTCTGAGTTTTCCTCCTTCGTCAGCATTGTGTTTGGTGTCAGCATGGAGTGATGCATAAATTGACCAGTCATCGTCTGGATATGAAACTGGATCACCTATTGAAAAGCAAGCACTCTACTTTTTGAACCATCCTGTTGCCCCATTTGGAAAAGGCATATTTGTTAGTTTCCAATGTAAATAACAAAAAATCTCGAAGCTTTTCTTGAACCTAGGCCTGAATATAGTACTATTTATTTAAAGGTGTGAAGTCTAATTAATGTCCTAAAAACCATGATTAATTTTAGCTCCAAACGGATGAAGCCAATGAGAAAAACTTGAGCGGCGGTGACTCAGAAGATAGTGTTAGCCTTCCAATGAAGTGACACACGTTCGAATCCCAGTGATGGCTGGTTGATACGATCTCTGCTCTTAAATCGCACCGACCACAGTGTTGAAGTAAAATATCCTCAGCGGTAGACGGATCATAGGTTAGAATATCTTTATAACTGTGGAAGATCTTCGTGGTTTCCATGTAACGCAAATGAGGGTTAGTTCCATCAAAGAAGTCCTCCACGAAGACTAATTTGTCCCAATGCATAATCCATTAGTTCCCTTGTCTTTTGGGTTGCGTTCAAAATTACAAGGTTACGGTATTAAACATTGATAGTTGTAAACCCAGAATTGGGTCGTCTGTTCAATGTCTGTTATAAAATAAAATTTGAAAAACTTTTTTAAAGAAAAATTTAAGCACTATGACTTGAATTTATTACTCAATATTTTGTACTTTTTAATCTTCTACTTTATCCTAATTGAGTGAGGATAAAAATATGTTTTTATACTTACGGATCATTTAAGTCTGGTAATAGCGTACCTAGTTCTTTAATTCTGTCATTAATGTTAAATCGTCTTCGCCTTTCAACTAAAAAGACAATTAGTATAATATGACATTATAATTATTTTTCTACAAAATAACTAATAAACTGTAGTAGCTAATTGTCATTAACAATTTCCATTTTATATCCGATTGCAAGTACAAAATTAAACCATCAAAAGTCATTAAAGTTTGATCGGTAGATGATTAATGTGCGTAATATCACCGAAAAATATGTTCAAACTGTAAAAGACTCAAAGACAAAGTTTGCAAAGAGTCATTGAAGTAATCCAATTATTGTCCTTAATAATTCACACTTGACATGTAGTTACAAGCAGAAAGACAAATAAGACCAGATTATGTTTTGAAAGCTTACACTGGTCGGTAGCAGTTCAATGTAATTGTACTAAAAAATGCTGAGTTTGGATACATGGAAAACAATTAAGTCTAAAATATTCTCTTTGGTTATTGAATTAAAACTAATATTAAATCCATCACTCACATTTTTAAGCAATCAGTATTATTAATGAGTTAGTATTAAACAATTGCTAATCATAGTCTAAGAATAAATTATTAATTTAAAATAGTGAATGAATAAAGATTCGAGGATCACAGTCGTCTTTTGTAAGTTATGTCAATGAATGAAAATTAAAGCTTAATTAGTTCTACTGAAATGGTATCCATAAGGAAGATTTAAATTAGAATAAAACGCATATGTATATTAAAATTATGATATCACGTGAAATAAAAAGCAAATTTTAACATTTTTCTTTCTCAAACTGTATTTAAAAGCAGCCTTTTAGAATCAACAGTGTTTTTTGCTTGTCAGTAAGCAGAAATTTGTGTTACAAGTTGAGGAAAAAAAATTTTTGACCAAAGAAAATTTAATAAACACTTCGAGATACAGAGGGGCAGACAAAAGAAAACCGAACATACACTACGAAATATAATGTGGTTTATTTTATTTAAATGTAATTGCCGAAATCGTTATTATGTACATTTATCATTCTGGAAGAAGAGACTGTCATTGGACAAACAGTAAACTTTTCATTTTGTGACGTAGCTAAGTAAACTGTTAACCGAGCTTATAGCCAAAACGTAAATATTTTCCTCATAAAGACCTCATCTTTGCATTAAATCTAAGCAGAATCCGATTCTAAAGCGTTTACAATGAGGTTTACCTTTCTCAAATAGGCACAAAGCAGAGTTGTTACGCAATCGAACCTGTTGAACCTCTTTCCTGGCTTCTGAGATCTCCTCAATATGGTATAAAGATTGAAAACGAAACTGTTAGGAAACTCCGCTCCATTCTAGTTGCATATCCAAATCTTGTAAAAAGAGGCAGGTCAGTGACTTTTCAGTCTTTGTGCTCTTTATCGTCGGCAAGAAACCAAAACAATGTTTCTATAGTTGAATTCTAAAACAGGAACACCATATATACTTCCCCCTTCTACCATAGATATAGAGGGTCTGCCTATATTAGGTCCATTTGACAGAAACACATTGCTCTTCTTAGTGTTACCGTTGCAAATGACTAAAGTATGCAGCCATTCTGTCAAACCCTCATTCAATTGATGCGGAGTCCAATTTAAGCGATATTTTCAGAATTGCTTAACTTCTTGAATTTGCTGTCGATAGCCTTTTGTCCTGAACAGTGTTAGCTATGAATAGCAAACATTTCGTAAGAAATACCTTCATTATGTTCACTTTCTGGCACTAATTGTACTCCTGCGCGTTGTTCTGTACTGAAAGAGTCATGCATGTTTTCATTTCCTTCAAGCATTCTCGTGCGAATAGTTAACCAGCAACCAACTGTGTTAACCAGTTGTAAAAGAAGAGCACACAATCTGTAGCACGCTTCTCTTACCTTAAGCTGTAAGCCCGTAAAAGGGTTCAACCAACACTACTTTATTTCAGGTGCTATATCGCGAGTTTCTACCTTTCCTTTGGGCTATCCTTGGGATTAATTTGTAATATTATTAGTAGAAGTAGAGTGTACCAAAAAAAAACTTTAAAAGAGAATGAATTAAAAAAATGGACCACTTTGGGTAACTTTTGATCTAATGATCGGATCTTCACGTTCTAGGACTTAATAAAATTAACATTTAGAGATCCGAACTTTGGATCTTCTGATGAAACTATGGGGATCATATTTCCCAGATTTCAGCCAACCCTATATTTTGGGAATGAAAAATATGAATCCGTTGAAAAAAAGTTATTTTTATCGAGAAAAAGTTCTCTTTTGGGTCTAATTTCGTATTTTAAAATATCGTCTGCACTAATTAATTAGCATAATGAAGGTGACCCCCTCGAACCATTAAGATTGAGTCCCAAAACATGAAGTTCTGAAAAAGATCGTAAAATCAAAATTTATTCAAAATAGTCAGTTTTTATTAGTTTTTTTTTTAAATTTTTTTTGCGCTTTGTGCATTAGAAGTGATCATTTGAATAGTGAAAATGTCTTCTTACTTACTCATATTATGGTTGTCTTTCTTTTGTCTGTCTTTAACTAGGGAAATTGGGCTTTTCGATAAATAGACTTTTCTTATTTTTGGCCATTTTAAATCATCAGACTGAAAGAAAAGTTTAAAAATATTTAATTTTTAGCATCGAAGTTTTGTCATAAAGTGAAAAAAAAGTACGCCTTTAGTTTCATACCCCACTCATGCTCGAAATTTTCTGAAAATATTTTGAACAATATGTCGTAATATCAAGTGGGGGAAAATACTGTCAAAAACTGTTTAAAAACTATTTTTAACCAACTAAGTTAATATCTAATATTTATAATAATTTTTCTACTTTCTTATATAAAATAAATTACGAACTTTTCTCTTTCAAAAACCGTTTGAGTTTTGTTTCTACGTCAAACAAAAGTTATGATGATTTAAAATAACATCAATATTAGTTATTAAATTATGTTTTAACCTTTTTCTCAAAACTAATTTTTCAGTTTTTTTTCTTTCATTTTAAATGCAGCATCTCAAAATATTTTAGATAAAATTACTTGAAATTTTGCATGAATTTTTTCTATACTAATGTAATGAATCTATGAATCTAAGGAATAGGCAACGGAAGAGTGGAATAATATAAGTCATTTTATATTTTATTGCTAAAATAACAATATTTAATTGCAATATTGGGCCTTTTTTGTCAAATAAGTTTCTGTGTTTGCTGTAAAATATCTGAATATTAATATTATGTCTAATGCTTAGTCTATTCCCTAAGTAAGTATTATAAAGCAAGAATAATGAAAAAAAAAAATTCTTTAACAATTTATGAGATCATGAAAAAAAAAATTTTAGTCTCTTTTCACCAGTTTCCACCATATTTTTTTAAAAAAAAAATTCATGTTCTTTTGCATTTATACATCTGTTAGTGTATAACATACGCTACATAAAAAAAATTATAAAATGAAAATTTTAACATTTCGTCTCCGAATGTATTCTGATACCTTAAATTTAAAAAAAATAAAAATGAAAAAACGTAATTAAATAAATAAAAAAATGATAAAACTGTACAATATTGAACGCAGTACAAAATGTCAGGAAACTAATACTTCCAGGTAAAAATTAACTACTAAAGAAACTAATATTCCAGGTAAAAACTATTTTTATCATTGCATGCATTAAAATTTATGGCGAGCGTATATTAGCTACTCTGGAATCGGAAATGGAGGGGAACAGCCATACATCTAACCAAATGCATAATATGCTTTATAATTCTATAGAGATGCTTGAAATCAATTAATGATTAAAAAAGGATACGAGAAAACTACATTGTAAAGTAAAGAAATCATGTAATGTAACAGAAAATCCCTGGCAGCAAAATTAGCTAGTTCTTTAGGTAAATCGCCAAATAAATAAACAACTGTAAAACAACTATATCTGGTTCTATTTAAATGCAATTTTTGACAATTATTATTAGAAAACATCAAACTAAATCATTAAGAAAATTTAGAAAAATAGTATTATAAATAACTATTATTTCACAGCAATATATTCAATTGTAAAAAAGAATATTAGAAAACAATTGGTTTGTTGCATAAAAAAATAATAAATAAATAAATGAAAATTAGTCATTAAAAATAGTTGTTTCAAGATCGAAACTTACAGAATCACTAGACAGAGACTTGCAGCTATCATCCATAACATATATCCCCTATAAAAATTTGTTTTTCCTTATAATAGAAATAAATAAATAACTTTTCATAAGGATAACATTCAAAATGAATTTTCTTTAATTATTTTTCAGCTGTTATGTCACACATTATAGCTATATTTTAGCCCTAGTAACAAAGAAAAATTCTTCAACTATTTATTAACAGTAATTCTATTTAAAATCTCTTTAAAATGTTTATACCGAGCGAAAATTCACAATAATGTCTATATTATATCTATATACACACATATATATATAATATAAACATCATATTTATTTATTTTTTTAAATAATATTTTTTTTAAAAATTTGACTAGGATCACCATGAAAAAATATAAATTAAAATGAGTTTTTTCTAATAGAGTTTCATAGAAAAACTATCCGCAATGTCATAATTGTCTGACATAGTATTTTACTTTTTTAGAGCAAGTTTATTATTTTTAACTTAATATACCGATTTTATTACAAAATAGTTATTCGAAATAGATAAATCTCATCGTTTTTTCTATAAATTCTAATTCCGAGTTTCAGTTTAAAATAATAAAAAACATAAGACTCTGCTTGTATTGTTTTACATTCGTGAAGTTCTAGATCTTGGAAAAATAAATTCCGATAAAATCAGAAATGTTAGAAGTTCCGAATAATATACATATATATTTCTTTAAAAAAAATTATAAACCAAAAATTCATAACTTTTTATTGTTTCCTACGTAAAGTGTACCCTTATAAGACTATTCGTTCGCAAAAGCTTTTTTTTAAATAAAATTTTTTAATGTATTTTCTAAGAATGTAAAATGCAAAAATCTTATAGATATTAGGAAAGGTAAGCCGCTTGAAAAATTGAATTAATATAAAACTTGAATCTTGAAACTATTTTTATAATTGAAGAGTTGAGTGGATGAAGAAACCAAGAAACATTTTACTGAATTTAAAATATTATTCAGTAAAAGGTGAAAACTATGCCTTACCTTTATTTTTTGATCGCAAGCTTCCAATTGGCGAAATCTATCTATCCATAACCCTCATTTAAGCTTTTTGCGTAATGGCATTTGCATTTTTGGCGTTTTAATTTGCTGCCAAAAGACAGGTTTTCTAAAGTTACTCCTCAGCTGTTTATTGACAAATGCACTTGGACCACTCTTCCTCTCCAAAAACGCTCAAAGGCTCTCAATTGATTTCTTCATCCACTCAAACCTTTGGAATAAAAATATATATCACAATAAATGAAATTTTTATAGATAAATAAGACTAAAGTAAGAACTTTCTTAAGATGAGTTAATCTTTGATGTTCTGATGAATAAATTTAAGCTCCCTCTGGAAAATCTCGATTTTTTAACTGTCATTAAACCCTTTGTCCATTGATAACAATATTCTTCGCCATTCTCTAGAAGTTTTTAAAAGAGGTTTTTGGGAACATGGTTCCGATTGGTGACAGATTTTTACTATAGGAAATTTTATTTAACATCTTCGAATACAAATTAGATCGCTCTCATGAATTTATCAGTCCAAAAGTTGAGTTCTTAAAGTGCTCAGTCAGAAAATTAAACATATAAATTAATTTTTCTATATTTGCACCTGATATAAGTCAGACATAGTTTATAAAACCTTTTGACTTTCTTATTTTTGGCACAGTTGATTTGTTGATAGTTTTAGTATAGTTGGTTTTGGCTCATTTGCCTTTTTTGTCTCTATATTCAATCAATTAATTAATTAACTGCTAGATCCACAAATAACTAGATTATGAAGAATTTTAAGGTTGTTTTTCAAAGCTTTATTTTCATTTTTTTTTCTTTTTTGAAAGAAAGTCGCAGTTTTAGTGTCTTAAACTCTAAACCAAGATTTAACTTATCTAACTGCAAGGAATTGACAAAAAATTTTAACCCTCCGTTTTCAAAATTACTAATTTGACGAATTTTTTTACCTATATGATAATCAAATAATAATTTACTGTTTACTTATGATACCAAATTTCTACTTTATGAGAAAATAAGAATCCTTCTTTTTTAGATTACTGCATTTTTTCCAATTGCAATTTCATATTATTTACAAAAACACACCAGAGATTGATAAAATTTAACCTAGCTGCAATGAACTACGCTAGTTAGTAAATAGCATACTAGTTCATGAAATGAAAAAAAAATTCGGACCTTAATACAAGTTTAACATTGAAAGATATTTAAAAATAAGGGAATTAATACTTACCTTGCTTCAGTCTGCCAAAATTCATAATCGGTATAGCTTTTTTTCTTTTATTCAACAAACCCGTAAAATTATTCAGAAATAAATGTTCCTATAATGGAAGAGTAGATTCTATGTTAGAGGTTTTTTGTAATAACCGCACTCAAATATTATATTAAGAAAACATGTAGAAAATGAAGTAAAAAGTACACTCATTAGAAGACACAATTTCATATTTAAGCGAAAAATTAAATAAAAATGGTATTGAAATCTTATAAACCACTCTTGAGAAATACAGGACTGAAAATTTTAAAACAAGTTTGATTGCATGAAGAAACTTGAAGGTGCTTCGAATTATCATCTTCCATTTTCATTCTGATTTATCCGACTCTCAAACAGGTTTTGATATTTTCAGTCTACCGTTTTTAAAAATGATTTGTTAGATTTTGATAGCTTTTTCTTCCATTAAGTATTAATTTGGAATCCCTAATGAGGGCATTGCTTTGACTAAATTTTTGATCTGGATCCAAAAAATATATATTAAGGGAGGTCATAACACAACAGTTTGCATAGTCAGTCCCAAAAGTGAGTGTGTCTCTGCAGTGCATTGCTCTGAAAACAGCAATCAAGTTGCTTTCAAACGTCAAACGATATTTTGAAAAGTCGTAATCAAAAAGGTCAAAAAACGTATATTTTTGCAAAATTCGTAAAGATATAATAGGTGGAAACAGTTAAGAACTAGAATTGATAAACAAGAAAGTAATATTTGATCGGTAATTTGCTTATTTGCCATTGTATGGATTTTGCATTAAAGCGACTATATTTTACAAAATAAAATGTTTGAAAGTGCTGTTCTTCAAAAATGTATCATACGTTAAATTTCTTTTGCCAATCACAGTCTACATTAAAATAAATAATATAAATTCTGAAAGTTTTACTCTTCTAAATTGTAGTTGTCATTTATTTACTTCGCACCAGACATGCACACTGGGATATTAGCGACGGTTTGGGAATCATCCCTGAGGATGATCCAAAAACGTGTCATCGCAATTTTGATTCTCTACAGAGGGGATGGCACCCCCGCTTCGGTAGCCCGACGGTAGAAGAGTTTGACTAGGACCAATACCGCACACCCTCAGTCCCATTGCAGGCTTATCAAAGTGGTCACCCCTCACACTAACCGTAACCAGTGATGCTTGATTTCGGTGATCTGCTGGGAGCTGAGTCTCAACGATCAGTCCACTGCTGAACGCATTCTTCTTGCATATTTAAAAATTTTAAGATAGAGATATATGGCAGAAATTACATAACATTTCAGTTACATAAAAGTCAGATGGAATTATATTTAATGAATATGTGGAATATATATTATCTGGTTATTTACTATCCGTCATGTTTTTTACATTCCTAGCTCGAAAGTAGATATACAAGTAGGTAAGATTTCAGACTTACGAGGGAAATTAAAATTCTTGTTACAGTTACAGTCAATGTTACGATTATATTCGATACTGCACTCCCGCTTTCTAATACTTTTAGTCCCTCAGTGGACTGGTCATGAAAACAAGGTTCCCAGTAGAATATCGAAGTCAAGCATCACTGGCTGCGGTCAGTTAGCGTCAGGGTTACCACTTTGAGCAGCCTGCTTAGGGTTCGAGGGTGAGCGGTATTGGTCCTCGTTAAACTGTTCCATCGTAAAATGCTCGAGTTCGTGCGCAGGTCGTCGGGCTACCAAAGCAGGGGAACCATCTCCTCTGCAGAGGATCAAAATTGCGATGTCTTCGGATCATTCTCAGGGATGTATCCCAGACCGTCGCCAATAGCCCAATGTTCAGCTCCATTGAAACGTACATAATTTATCTACCTATCTAATACTTTTAATAGGGGCGAGCTATTAGAGAAATAGGAAGATTAATGCGGTAGTAGCAGGTTCGAGTCTAGTCATGGATGTATCTTTATGCAACTTTTCTCATCTTTGTGTTTTCAACTTTGACAAGTCATTATTTATTCTACAATAAGCATGTGAATAAATATAGAAAAGAAAGTAAAACTATTTTTTTACTATATACCAGAAATGCTTCATACTTTGAAGGTCTATATAAAAAATACTTACGTAAATTTCAACCGATTACTAAAAGAGGTTGCAACGAAAGGTAGTGTAATTTTAGTAATACATTTATTAACCTGTTACAAAATTTTAAAACATCAGGCTTCATAAAACCGCGTTCAATGCGTAAGAAAATTAACTAAACACCCTGAATAACTTCTGATAAAAAGCTTGGTACTAAGGTTCAACTTATGATTTATTAATGGTTTAAAAGACCTCATATATGTAAATTAAATTTTTAGTATCGGACGCAAAAACGTACCTTCTCTAAATAAACATACCTTTTTCAACGAATTCGGAATTTTTGACTCCTCCCTCCAAGGAAATATGGGGTCAATCTGGTGAATATAATGCTAATAGTATAATCAAAAGAGCGATCGAATAATTGAGCCACTTAATGTTAATTCTACTTTTTGCTCATTTCGTTGTATCACCACAGCTGTTAAAGAGAATAAAAAAATAAAAATTTACGCTCAATTATAAGATTTGTATGTAAAAAGAATTCCTCTCAAATATTAATTTTTTCATAGCTATTCTTATTTTACAATTTTAAGAAAATCGATTGTTTTTTTTTAAATTGTAAGGTATAAAAAATTTTATTATATTTCAAACTAGGTAATTTTAAAGGACAAAAACAAAATTTAGACAAATAAGTCAATTAGTTCTCGAGAAATAGGAATTTCAGTTCATTTGACTGTAGTGAAGTTTTATTGCTTCGACCGATATACGAAATTTGAAATTTTAACATTTGAAGTTATTCAGAAGATATTTTTTTTTTACAATTCAAACAAGCATTTTTAAATTGAAGAATGATAAATGCTTAGAAATTATTGTTTTTCGTTGACTTATACTTGGACAAACGAATTGCGATAAACGTTTGCGAAGTATACTTGGTAGGTTTCAGTTAACAGGTTCATGGAAAAAAAGAAATAATTTAGAGCTGTGTGGGACTTTAAAGAACATGGTATTGTAAAATTCATCAAAATTCAGCGAATTTAATGCGCTGGAGGGTCGATGCTGTAAGAAAGTCCTTTTGGGAAAGCACATGGGAAAAGACACTCGCTAAGATAGATTGACTGTGTTGAGAATGATCTAAACATTCTTAGGGTTTAAAGTACGAAAATAGTAGCCAAATGTTGAGATGCTGGGAGAAAACTTCTGGAAAAGGCCAGGGCTTATCCAGGGCTGTCGAGCCCCTGAAGAAGAAGAAACGAGTTAAACAATTGCTATCATTATTTTTTTTCACTCTATTAGCTTTAGAGATATGGGAAAATATGGAAAAAAATAATAATAATAAAATTTACATCTAGAGCCTTAATCTTTTAACTACTCATCTGAATTATCTATTGAAAACAAATTTTACAGATTGCTGATAACCCCCATGATTTGAGTAAAATCAATTCCCAAAGATATACATCGGAAAAAAAATTATGTTTTTTTTTGCCAAAGATGTGGTTTTGTATCTGATTTTATAACTTATCCTTGTGAAAACCAGCTTCCAATATATTGAACAAATTTTTGCCCAATATATTGATGTAATTTTATTAATCAAAATTATATTTCAAGGTTTAATTTTCATTTTTTATACATTTACAAAGCGATTGACTATCTAAAAATATAATTGAATTTATTCTTGTTGGCCGAAATTTTTCAATACAATAAAAAATTATAAGAAAGGTAAGGTAACCTTTTAAGAAGTTTTTATAGGGCATATAAACATCTTTTTATTTCAGTCTCTTGGCTTTTATTTCATGAACAGATATTGAAGAAATACTTTATAAAAAATATACTACATTATATAAAACGAGCAAATTGATAATTTTTTTTATGTAATAGTTAAAAATAATTTCAAAAATTAATTAAATTTAATTAATAAAAATTTTTAAAAAACTTTTTTTTATCGCATTTTGAGTTTCATTTATTTTAAAATATAAATATCCTCGCAAAAACCATATTTTCTGCCAATATTTAAAGCTTGAGCCTTAGAGGCTAAAATTAGTCGGCACTTATTGATTCATATGTTTAAAACTTGCGGACCGGCAAGTAATATATTTCTTTAATTATCCTTCGACAGAGATAGGTATAATTAACTGTAGTAGTGAGAATTTACACAATGTGCATAGGTTTTTTAGATTTCAAATACTTTGAAGTAGAAAAGAAAATGCACGAAGAGCCGCCAGCGGCTTACGAAGTGTTAAGTTTTAACCTCCAAACCACTAAAATTGAAAAAAAAAAACTAATTTAATTTTTTTTGATTTAAAAAGTAAGCTGAATTTAAATGATTGCTGTTAAAAAAAAATTTAATAAATAAAATAATTTTTCATAAACAATTTTATTTTCAATTTTTTTTCTATCATTTGGAATTAATATCTAATTTTTGATGAAATTTTATCCAACAATTTTCTAGTAATAAACTCAAAATACCTGACATTATTTCATTATCAATATTCACATTTAATTTGAAATGAGTCAGTCTAAAAGACTATGAAAATATAGACTATGAAAAAGCGAATTCTTAAGATGGTACGTTTTTATTCACTACTATCTTAAAATTACTGAGTATAAAATAATTATTATCGCTTCATTTTTTTAAATCCCAGATAAAATGAATCTCATTTTTAAAAATTCTTCGACACCTAATTTTTACAAAACTAATACAAATTTTAATAATAATGCTGTTATAACAAAAATAATAGGAGTTTCGTAAAATTAATATGGACTGAAATATCATGCCATTTAGATTATTTAAGATGAAGTGAGTCATTGACCACCAACACATCATTTCATATTTTGATGTAATTCAGCATGTGGATATCAAAATGTGCAAAACCAAATTCGAAAATCTTTTTAAAGAAAGTTCAAATTACTTCTAGTTACTTATAATTAATTTCAACCAAAATTATAATAAAATAAAATAGTATCATAAAATGTCTAAAAAAATTATGAAAATATACAAAAGTAACAATACTTAATTTAAAGAAAAAGTATTTTAATATTCCCAGTTATTTACCCCAAATCATATACAAATATTATGTCCTTTCTAAAATCACGAAAGGCATCGAGAATTTTTAACAATATTGTAAATATTATTTTGCTTTGTAAATTAGCAATTCCTAACTCTCTTTATTCACCATAAAATCTTCGTCGAAATATTTATAATATTTGTTTTTAAACAGATATTTGTGACAGCAACTATAATAATATCAAGTTTTTATTATCATCAGTAGTCATTTATTAAATGCAGTTAAAATAACTGTATTCGCATGTGGGCAGAATCCTGACAATTTTGCAGAAAAATTTCAAAATTGGTAATTTTTTCTCCCTACATAACTAAACATCCGTCCAATAAACTACTGACCTATGCCGGTTTAATGCATTGCAGATGTTACTGAAACACTAAATTTTTACCCCTTTTCTACATTTTAATAAAAAAATTTTTAGCCTAATTTTTTGATATAAGTAAATGAAGAATAAAAAAAAAAGTATTATTTTAATTCATAGTCTATGAGTCGAATAATAAGTTACAAAGTAATGCTGATTTAGGTTTAGTTATCTTGGGTTAAAAGGCCGTGATCCATATATTGCATTATTTATTTCGATGCAAACTTTGCATAAAGTGTAAATTGCTGTAAAAATTAAACGCATGATCCTTTTTTGAAAATCAGAAAATACAAAAGTGCATTTTTAGAAGCTTGTAAACATATATTTGACATTGTATGAGCTTTCACTTTCTGTTTCAAATAAAATTTTACATTATATCACTTATCTATATTTTATTAAAATTTTTATGTGCCTACCTAGGCTAATATTGTGACTTTAAAGAAAAACATTTTTTAATTTGTAGTGAATGTGTTAAGTAATAAGTTACAGAGTAACAATGATTTAAGTTTAGTTTAGTTATCGTGAGTCAAAATACCACAAATTGCATTATTTATTTTACTGCAAAATTTGTATAGACTACAATTTGTTGTAGAAATTAAACGTTTGCCCCCTTTTTGTAACTTAAAATTGCATTTTTACAACATTTTACATAAATATTTGATATTGTATGAGCCTTCTATTTGAAGTAAAATATTAAATTTTATCACTTATTTCAATCAAAATTTAATGTACTTAAGCTGGACTAAATTTTTGACATTAAAATAAAAAAAAGTATTTTTATTCGTTGTCTTTGAATCGAATAATAAGGTACAAAATAACACTGATTGAATGGGTCAAAAGGCCGTGATCCACTATTTGCATTATTTATTTTTTTACAAAATTTATATAAACTGTAATTTGTTGTAGAAATTAAAAATTGACCCCTTTTTGAAAATCAGAAAATTTAAAATTGTATTTCTACAAACTTGCAAGCATCTAATTAACATTATATAAGCTTTCACTTTCTGTTTGGAATAAATAAAAATTTGCAGTTACTTATTCGATCCGAAAACAAACATTTTAAAAACTGTTGTTATTAAAAAAGTCAATAGCGTTTGTATCCTTCTAGAAATTATAGTCTACAAATTATATAAATAAATATAATTATTCAAATCATCAAGGTTTTCCAAAGTATATTATAAATATATATAAATATAAAATGTGCTTTTGGAAACTGTACTAAGTGATAATTCTGCTCTTACAGAACAATGCTAGTTTGTCTCATAAAACTTTTATAACTATATTAAAAACAAGAATGCAAACACAAAAAAATGATGTAGTTTTGACTCAGCTAATAAAAAGAGGAAAAAATAAATACTGACCTCTATAGAAGATGCTACAAAATAACTGGGGGGAGGGCAACACCAGTTGCAACAGATAATAAAATTGAACTTCGAACCCTGTTATCAGATCTGTTTGCATTTCTGATTATGGTTCATACGTATCTTTCTTTGTTTTTTATTCTTTCTAGACAATATACTAATTTAGTAAATATAAATTTGAATCAATGCTTATTTCTTTCCCTTCAATTTTTCAAAAGAAATACGGAACTGAAATTATCGAATATGTAGTTCCATGCATGAATTTCATGGGTACTTTTCTTTTCTATTGTCGCTTATTAAGTTCGCATATATGAGTATTTAATTACCGAAAATTTAGACAACAAAAAGTATAATATACTATCTCCTCATAATTAAAAAAAAACATTTAATGACAAATTTTAAAAAAAAACATTAAATAAATAACAAATTCTTGGAAAAATGCATTGAAACTTTGAAAACACAATACTAAGAAATACCTCAAAGCTCAGAAAATGTTTGCTAGCTCATATTCAACCGCATCAGTCCGAGCCCAACACGAGCTTGAGCTACATAGTTTCAAGATTATTTGATGACTTTTACAGATTAAGCTGTAATCATATCCTCATCAAACAAGACTGTTTCTAGAAAGTTAATAGCTCACTCTGTCTAAACAAGAATCAAAAGTGATCGGATTGCCATTCTCAAAATTAAGTTTGCTGCATTAATAATTTCAGTCAGCGTGGGGACCGAGGGTGTGCGGTATGGGTCCTCGTTAAACTGTTCTACCGTAAAGTGCTCGACTTTGCGTGCAGGTCGTCGGGCTACCGAAGAGGGGGTGCCAAAGAGGGGGAATCAAAATTGTGATGGTATGTCTTCGGATCATCCTCAGAGATGTTTCCCACACCGTCGCCAATAGCCCATTGTGCAGCTCTAGTGCGACGTAAATGAACTACTACAACAACAACAGCATTAATAATTTCGTATTTATTGGTAAAATTACGCCCTCCAACTTCATAATTGATAGCGCAACAAATTCGCATCATGGTACATCATCAACGCATAGGTTTCCTAGTTTTCCAACCTTACGTATAGGTACAAATTTGCCAGAACTAACATTGAATTTTGGGTTTGTCATTAAAAATTGCATAAAGGAATATAAAATTTGTGCACCTAAAAATTCAAAATTTGGTTAAAATGCGAATTTTTAATTAGCATTTATTATTACACCCCGGGAAGTATTTAATTGATTTCGCTCATATTGTGCTAATCATTGAAAATTATATTATTTATGAGGATATAAACATTTGTATATCTGATCATTCCAAATATTTTCGATCCTATTAATTTAAATGATAAATAATAATAAATCATTATGAATTATTTTTCTCGGGAAACAATATCTGGGTAAACAAGTATCATAAGCTGGTGCAAGAAATATTGAATTTGCATCACTAGTTTTTAAGAAAAAAGGCAAAATTTCAACCACTTTCTTGTATATGGGGTCTTTCTTTTTTTTCAAATTGTGGTTACTGTGCATTTTTTTATCCGAATCCGTCAAAAAAAGGTATATTTATTTAGAGAAAATACGTTTTGTGTTTGATTTCATTACTTAATTCAAGGGCATCAATAATTAATTAGAATGTTTAAAGTGTACCTATAATTGCATTTTAACTATCGAAAATCCGATCATATTAAATTTACGGCATAGTTATGAAGATATTGCAATTATTTTGTTAACGTAAATTTAATTTTATTTGCAAAGATTTTTTTAAATAAACATATTTAAATCATGATTATAATTTGAAACCTAGAGACAAAACAGTCAACAGTCTGATTATTACTTGCTTAGAAAGAAAATTAATTTTTCTAAAATCATTTTAAAATGCAATTAAAAATAAATAATCGTTATTAATAATAAAAATGTGATTGTTCTTTAAATAGGTTCGATTATAAATCAATTTTGTCAAATCCTGCTACCTATCGTAAAAATAACCCTTCCTTAACAAACACATTTTTACACCCTAAAGAAAAATCTATTTACAGTATTTAGTTAAAACTGAAAATGTGCTTGATACAGAATTCTTAAAGATGCGTTTTCATCAGCTTAAATAAAACTCATAATTTATATACAGTATGTTATATAGTAACTTTTTTTACTTACTTAAATCCATTCATTAGTTAATTAAGAGTATTATGTCAAAAGTGAAAAATTATTAACCTTTTTGAGCCGCTTCGTCGACAATAAATCAAGACTAACATCCCATTGTTTTATCTATGTAGTGGCATTCTTTGAAGCTTATTTTATTCGGCGATATTTTCTTAAACCTCAGTTTCAAAACATCTAAAGATTTGGCGTCAAATGGATTTAATAGGATGCAATCACGTCACACAAATAAAATAAATAAATAAAAAATTTTTTTTGAATGGAACATATAAAAAAGCATTGCTTTGAAAGCGCATCTAATTTTTTTAAAGTAAATAAGACTTGTAAAAAAGGAAGCAAAATTTGTCTGTTACTCCTTTAAGAGAAATAAATGATTATTTAACACAGTTCGAGAAATCTTATCGATAAGTATGAAAGCCGAAAACGTGATGTATTAGTGCACATGTACAGTGGGCGAAAGAGAGAAAATAAAATTAAAGAAAAGACCACCTTGTATAACTTTTGTTCTACATCGGATCTTCACGTTTAAGGACTGAATCTTATTGATTCAAAAGAGTGACCTCAAATATGCTAATTAGTGCAGATGATATGTTAATTAGACACAAGAACGTACTTTCACTGAAATAAACCTTTTTTCAACAGATTTGGATTTCTGACTCCCAAAATATAGGGGGTAGCCATAATCTGGAAAAGGTGGTAATATCGATTTTTAAATTTACAACTTCTTTAAAATTTGATTTCTCAGGAACTATTCGACCAATTTTACATACTTTAAAATAAGGTAAATATTGTATACCTTACAATTCAAAATGTTTCGACTATTATTAAATAAAATAATAAAAAATAATAAATATTTACTAAAATTTGTTTTTTGCTTAGAATTATCTTTAGATAAACGTAATTTTTAATTGCGTGCAAAATTTTTCAATTTGTTTAAAAAAAATTTTAAATATGGCGAAATACGCAAAAATTAAAATTAACATTAAGGGGTCCTAACTTTGAATCGTTCTCCTGATCAAACTGTGAGGATTATATTTTAGGGGTCAGATATCTGAATCCGTCAAAAAAAGGTATTTTTATTCAGAGAAAATACGTTTTTGTGCCTAATTTTGTAACTTAAAATATCATCTGCAGTAATTAATTAGAATATTTAAGGCCACCCCCTTGAACCAATTTTTTTATATCTGTCGTTGAACAGCAGATACAATTATGGGTTTACGACTACTAATGTTCAACTCCGCAGCCTTGTAATTTTGAACCAATCCAGAAGACAAGGAAACACCTGGATCAGTAGCCCCAGAGGTATTGATTTGTTATGGGAACATGGAGGACTTTGCGACTCGACAGATTTAACGTGCATCAGTCACCATTTACTACACTACTTTCTAGTCTTCGGCCAGCTGGGATCGAACCCACGAACTCTTAGACATGCGCCCAGTGCCCTACCAACTAGGCTATCAAGGCCTCCCCTTGAACCCTTAAGATTGAGTCCTAGAACGTGAAGATCCGATTATTAGATCAAAAGTTTCTTTAAGGCGATCTGTTTCCTTTTATTTCCGCAATGTACAGTAAAAGACGTTATAGCAAAAGCTCACAATGGCTGTTTTATAGTGAATTTGTTGTAAGCAAATGCACATATTTAAAGCTAAAATGGCATTAAAAAGACTAAAATATGAAATAGAATAATGGTCTCTCTTCCTTTTATTTAAAATACATATTCATAGTAGACCGATTTAGACTGAACGGGGAATTTTCGCAAGAAAAATACCCCGTTCAGTCTATTTTCTGTTCACACTAAATTTTTTTTTTTTTAATGGCGGGTGCTTGGGATTTGTCCCATTGGCCACAGAAATGCCAGAACTGCTACTCTCTTCTCGTTACCCAGTGGCGAAGCCGCGGCGGTGGAGCAGCGTCGCCCACGTCACGCAAACCCGTTTATAGGGCGGGTCACATTCACACAAAGAGGAAAGGACATAGAACACAGAGAGTGAAAGAAACATCCATGCCCTGAACAGGATTCGAACTCGAGCGCGGCCAATGGCTCCGCAGACAGACACGTTAACCACTCGGCCACCTGTTCACACTACATAAATGAAGTGAAACAGCTTTTGACGTCATCGACAATACTGATTTATGATTTCCATAGTAAGTTGTCAAGATGTGTGTATATATATATATATGAACTGATATATCAACAGAAATTCAAAACCTAGTTTTATTTTATGAAATTATGAGCCTCACTTAGTTAGGCTTTTATTTGTTTAATCATTGGTTAAAATACCCCCTCCCCCCACAAAAAAAGACTAAAATACAGTAATTCATAGGGAATTGGATTTTTTTACACTTAATTATTTTAAAAGTAAATTTACAAGAAATTTCAGGTATTTTGAGAAATAGTAAATACTATTAAATATGCATAATTGATTAAAGGGTAAATTTCAAGAGTTTGATAATAATAATACATTCGACTTTAAAGGAACTGAAGTTATTAAATATTTTGCATTGCTCTGTTTGTTTTTAAGATGATAGTGTCTTTTTGTACTACGAAAATGAAATTTCTTCGGTTATCATAATAACTCCTTTTCTCCTCTCATATGATCCCTTTTACATTTTACCATAGCAACTGACTACAAAAGAGCAGTTCCCTAAGAAATGGGGAATAACAAACAATGCAAATTTTTCATAACTTTATTTAAAATGCCAGACGATTTCTTTCTTTGTTAAATCATTTAATAAAAATCTCATTTAACTGTTCATTTTATCTCTACATGGCGGAGAATATACTTTGATTTACTATAAAAAAATTTCTTGCAGCATTATATTATTTAGTTAATGCATTTAACAAATTTTATATTTTCTTTTTTTTAAAAAAAAAAAGACATCATTTTACATATCAGAAATTTGTCTTCATTTTCCTTCAGTAATTCTTGAGATTTAAATTTTTAGTAAATGAGTGAAAAGAAAT